TATAAAATGCCTTCAAATATGTCTGCATAAATTCCCAATATTATCTGGCATGTGGGACAGATTGGACATGGAAATATATACATATATTTCATCTGAAACATTTAACAGGTCAAATTGCATGTGATTCTGTATTGAATTCTGTATTTTTTCCCAAATAGTTCAAAGTCAAAGCAGTTTTTAGGAATGTATTTATTATTTAAGGTATTTTTCATGCCTGGCTTCGTATCTAGAATCTTAAATGTAGAGCTGAAGATGTTTGGACCTCTGCAAATAGCCCGTTAATCTTGTGTACGTGTGTGTTTTTTTGTATGAGGGAGGAAATATTGACGAGTAAGGCTTTGACCTTAGTGTGTAGGCTGCGGCAAAGACACATACGATAACATCCCTCACCCTCCATCTAACACACACACACACACACAAGTGACACAAACACGCAAAAACACACGCACGTACAAACAAAAGCAATAGCATCTCCCTGGTGGGTTGCTTCTAAAGAGTCTCCTCCATCACTGACTGCAGAGGCCCATTTACTGCAACAGTGAGACCACTGCAGCGTAAAAAAGCACGCATGCAGACACACACAAGCACTGTACATGCTGACTCAAGAATACACACTTAACACACACACATTTGGTCATGTTGAGCCACACACACACATATTCAGGGATCATGTATCTGTCCTGCAATAGCACTGCTGCGGTCACTGCAGCCTTTCTCAAATTAAAAATAAGAAATAGAGCTGAATAAGCATTTTGTAATAGAAACATTGTATGTCGCAAACAGTGTTGGAGTAGACCTTGAGATCTTTTTTACTGTGACTGCAAAAACAAAATGTGTTTTTTTTCTTTTTGTTCCTCAGAGCTTTTCTCAAATAATTAATCTGCACGGCAGCCAGCCTCAAGTGAAATGTAAATGTGAGCTTTGTGGCTAAATCTGTATTAAAATCTAACCATATCATAGTAAAAAATACATTGACCACCTTAAAATAACTGATAATAAATGCAAGCTCTTTGAAGAATATTGTAAGAAACAGACATTTTCAGAGATACTGACTGATGATTGTTTATTAGATTGCCTCAATACTCATAAGGATGCATATCAGATATCTGAGTGTCTTTGACAATCTTATTTAGCGTTTAAATCATGTATCTGTAACTATTTGGCTTCCCACAACTTCAGAATGTAGCAACAATATAAAGCTTTGAAGACAATAAACATGTTTCTCTCAAAGCATAACGTCACTTGGGAACACAGAATGCCAAACACATTTGTAAGCTGCAGCTGCATAGCCAACAACCCAGTGTTCACCGTGTGATTTTGTGGTGGACGTGCAGTATGTTTTGGGATCTGTTAAGGCTGCAAGATTATAAGGTTTAGACAGGCAGAAGGTGGGCTGCAGTGGAAAGTTCCCATCAGACTTATCAGATACTTTACACTGTAAAAGCACAGCGAAAGACTTGACTGTGTGTGCAGTATTCAAGCCATTTGTCTGTAGTTTAAACCACTTAGTGCCAGTTCGTATCACATCATTTAATGACATTTCTGTAAGATTTTAAATGAAAACATAATTTATTTTTCAAGGCAAAAGTACACTTTAGTCTAGTAATTATGCTAGTTCAATTTAGAAAAAAAACTGTGACTCTTTCAAGAAGTTTGTTAAGATGCGTTCGCTTTTAATAAACGGTTAACTTCCTGCAACGATTCCCCCATCTTTTTTTACATCACTTTAAATCCAATAGCATCTAAGATTTTTGTAAGAGTGCAGTCATGGCCAGAGGCTGTGTCAAATAAGCTGGGAAAAAACGACCACCACATAAAACATAGTTGCAGACTTCTAAATGATGTTTTTAGTGTTTATCTTGGCTTAAGTCAGTCCAGTCGTTACTTTGTAAGGCAGAGAGATGTGGACTGGGGTTAAACAGAGTGAGTGGGAGAATAACTGACAGGGAAATTGCACAGGGAAATTATTGTTATTTCACAATTCAATTATATATACTGGGTGGAATCACCTCTGACAGGGCTGACCATAGCAGCACTCCTAATGTGTGTGTGTTTTTATGTGTATGTGTGCGTGTGCGTGTGCGTGTGCGTGCGTGTGTGTGTGCGTGTGTGCGTGCGTGTGTGTGTGTGTGTGTTTGTGTGTGTGTGTGTGTGTGTGTGTGTGTGTGTGTGTGTGTGTGTGTGTGTGTGTGTGTGTGTGTGTGTGTGTGTGTGTGTGTGTGTGTGTGTGTGTGTGTGTGTGTGTGTGTGAGATTGAGTGTGAAACTTTATCCGTGTACCAAGGCCACTGAGGCTTTACTGGCAGAGAGGGGAATGTACTGTAGAAAGTGAATCGGAAGAGAGAGAGAATTAAAGAGAAAGAGAAGTAGTAACATCAACAGAGTGAAGCGAAAACAGACTATTTTAAGGCTGAGTGGGTGTTAGTAAAAACACACCAAACCCCCGGTAATGAGCCGTTTTTGAACAGTTGTGACGACAGTGCGTAAAACAAACCATCCTTGATTTTTTCGGCGAAATCCAAAACCTCACCGTGGTCACACTGTGTGTTTAGGCACAAACATTTTTGCAGATGCTGTAAAAAAACAAATCCTCTCGTCTTGAATTTGGACAATTTTTCAGAGAGAAAGACAACCTTGTCCTTGTCTGAGAGCATTAAAAACACATTGTCAAACGTGAAAAATGGGTTTCAGTTATAAGAAATGAACGCTCAGTCTTCATTCGTCCTGAAACAACGACTCTTTGAACACACAAGGTTTCGGGTGGTACGTAAAGTAAACTAACCCTATTTTCTATCCAGAAAAATTAATGATCCATGAAACTTGGGCAAAAACAAAGCACAGCGTTGCACTGGCTTGTGTTGACGTTGGCTCCCAAAAACCACCAGAAAAATAATACCGTAGTATAAATTTAAGAAATCCCTGGATTTGAATGTAACAAGGATCTCTCACAATGTTTTCAATGTTGACTTTTCCCTGTAGAAATCTGACCTTATGCCATTTTGACAGCAACACAAGTTATAATGAGAGGTCATTATTTTTTTGCTGTGTATTTCTGCCCAAATCAATATGGAAATATAAACAAAGCTAATAATACAAAGATCTGTCATAAAACAGTTTTAAGGAATACCATTAACATCCAGTTTATTTTTTATTATGTATTGTTTATTGGCACATCTGGCACAAGATTTTTTTAGCATTTTCTCCCAATGTTTTTGATTTATTTTTCATTCCTTTTTTTTGTGACCAACTTTTTATTGTTTTTTTTTTGTTTGCACTCACAAAGGGACTTATATACACAGATACAAATTATATAGACAATAATACAAAAAGAAAAAGAAAAGACAAAGAAAAAAATATATATTTTTCATTCCTAAAGCAAATTCTGATGAGTACATGTTGCAAGAGGACCTTGATTTAAATACGGCCAAGATCTAAGGTATAATGGTAAAAATCAGAACACAAAACAAAAGATTGTTATAACAACATAAGTATTTCCTCTGTTTTTAACATAGTATTTACCCCATAATGTAAGTTGTATGTCTTTATCGAGCCTTGTGTTTTGTCGTATTGTATTTTTTGTGTGCAATGCTTCAGTCATAAGGGACTTGCTTGTGATTCAATATGTTGCCCCCCCCCCCCTCGAGTGTTTTGTATATGCAGCCTTACCAGCCTGTCAATGCAATCTGATCCCCCCTGTGGATTGTTTTTGATGGAATAGTCTTTTTTGCATTGTTTTCCCTATGCTCTCATTTCTGTCTCCATTTCTGCACATGAAAATCACAGAGAATCGATAGGTGTAGAATTTCTCCGACACACAGAATGGGATTGCTTGTGTGTGTATGGGTTTCCTTGTAATGACAGTCAACCTTGTTTTTCATTCCACTTTAGGTCGATACTACATATGAGACAGAGTGTAGTTTATGAGAGAGCTAATAGTCAGAGACAGCAGTGCCCTGCTTATGAGTTAGAGATGGAAGAAGCATCAAGGGTGTTTGTTTGTGTGTGTGTGTGTGTGTGTGTGTGTGTGTGTGTGTGTGTGTGTGTGTGTGTGTGTGTGTGTGTGTGTGTGTGTGTGTGTGTGTTCGTGCATCAATAAATTACGAGTTAAAACTCTATGTGATGACTTGGCACGATAGCGGCACCCTGAACAGAAGGTCAGAATTTGCAGATGCAGTGTGTTGCAGTTTTGATGATGTTTGGAATAGTACCATCAATGTTTTTATGATTTCAATTCAAATGAAGTCAAATGTATTTATATAACCGAGAATAAAAAATAATGTGTTTTTATTTGGTTTTCAAATTCCCTTTATCCTCAGCCCTCATGAAAATCTCCACATTACCAACTTTGGAAAAGCAGCAACAAATGCAATCTGTTTTTCAGGAAACATTCATTAAAACAAAACATGTTTTCAGGCATTTCTAAATGCTTTTCGATTAAACCAAATTACTAAACTAAATACTTTACGACATCCACATGAGTTAATTTGAACACTGGCAAACAAATAAAGACTACAAATTATTGTGGGTATAATATATGGTATTCTTGCCCTATGGATAGTTTTACTTTCTCAAGCTGTTTAATTTGTGTAATTTTCCACAACTAGAATGGATAAAACTATCCAGTACAACACAAGATAATATTATTGAAAACCTGGTCTTTTTTAGCTGAATATATTTCTGAGTCTTTTCTTTTCTATCAGCCAACTCAGAATCCTTCTGAATTCATTTTGTGATCCCTTTGGGGAAACCACCTAGACAATGTTTTTTATAAACATAGTTATACAAGTTTGACTCTCAAGCACAAAAATCCCCAAACTTGGATATTTGAGAGGTCAGGGAAAAGGTGACGGGAACTCAAACCTGTATTCTGGATAGAATTTAATTGAACTTGCGTCAGAGTTTAGACCGCAGAACTGAAAAGTGGCACTGAATTTTTATTTTTCTAACAGTCTGTTTTTCTCTTTTCTCCCCCCTTTTCCCTCTCTCTGTTTCTCCGTCCAGCACTCTCAACAACAACAACATCACCCTCATCCCCCTGTCCAGCTTCAACCACATGCCCAAGCTGCGGACTCTGTGAGTATACACAAACACACACACACATACACACACACAAAACTTCTAAAATATACTACAGATGCTCACACTCACAATTTCGTTGTATATTTGCACTGCGAACACAAAACTATGCCTCAAACACAAACAACAGTCGATGTCTCATGTCCATAATAAGAGACCACTTCATCTATTGTTTCATGACTGTGAATAATCTTGTGGTCATTACGCACTCACACACCCATAAAGACACACACATAGTTGGATAGAGCGACAGCTATGCTCACACACTTGAGTGATTGTAGCCTCATTAATACCACAAGAAAGCCTTGTTCAGGCTCGATAGATCAATCTGCTTTGATTCATTAGAATAAACCTCCTGCACTGATGTTACTGATGTGATCACACACACACACACACACACACACACACAGACACAGTCGTTATCCATCATGAATGCCAGGCAAATTTACTTTCTGATTGATCAGAAGGGGAGTTTGATCTGTGTTTGATCATGTCTTTTTTTTTGCTGTATTTACTTGAGATTTTACAGTTGCCAAGGTGATGGCACGACATCTCTAGGCAGACTACCCATAATCCCGTGGGACTGTCTCAGAGCTAGACCATTGAGTAGCATTCCTGCTAGCCACACTGGGGTTGACTTCTGCCAAGCCAGCATGCATAGAAAGGGATTTCCTCCCCAAATCCCATTTTTACGAGGCCCGTGTGTGGTCACTCAACCCTACTTAACATTCAGAGATGGGGATTTCTAAATACAAGCAGAAATCAATTTATCTTTTACGACCATTTGCTCTGTTCAACTTTTAAACAGCAGCATGCTTCAACAGCCCATCACAAAGCATGGTTTCTATATTTCCCGCAACTCTAGTGGCACTATGGCTGGAAATCAGCTTTTTTAAATTGGATTCAGGCAGCAGCGACGCAGTGGCCAGCAGATTGAGAACAGAGTTACCCAAATGTTTTAATCAAAGCCCTTATCTGTTTTCTGTCAGAGCTACTGTCTCTTCCCATTTTCTCTCTCATATGTTTGCATCAAATCTCACTTTTCTGGCCGTATTGTTCATCCCTATTTTTCAAAACTTCCACTTTAGCTCCACCCTTTATCTTCTTTTTTCTTCCTCTCCTATCAGCGATTCTCGGTTTTCCGTCATCATGGCATCTTTGTATTCTAATTTCTCCTTCTACCCATTTCCCTCTGTCCCTCCTGTCTTCTTATTTGCCCCCTTCTCATCCTTCTCTTTCTTCTTCTTCCTCTTAGTTTCTCTCCTCTTCTCCTCTTCTCCTCTTCCCCATCTCTTTTAAGCTCAGAGGTCATCTCTCAGTTCTTCCTCCTCCTCTTTGTCCGTTCTGCTACTAACCTTTGTCATGACCTCCTCCTCCTTTTGCTTCCTCTTCTGTATTAAATGGTGTGTCTTTAATTTTTTGCTGCACTCTGATCTCAGTATTGAATTTTCTGCTTTTATAAAAACGACTCATTCAATCAGACGTTGAGAGGTGTCCCTGATCTGATTGGCGGGGATTTTGAGAAATGTGTGTGTGTGTGTGTTTTTGGAAACGTCTGCATTACCTCACTAGCCTAGCCAGCTACTCTTTTTTCAGGATTTCTGCAGTATCTATCTATTCTATTACCAGTAATGAGAGATCCGCTGGGTGTCTCTTATTCAGAATGAAACCAATGAAAAGATTTGAAATCCCACCGCTTCTATCCATGTGTGTGCAAGTGTGTGAGTTTGTGTGACTCACTGTACAGTGTTGATCTAATAACTTTGCCTATTAACCCTCCAAGGCAAATACTAAGAATACTAACACACAAACAAACACACACACACACATCCACAGAAACACCACGTACCCTTAGTCACCCGCAACCAATAAGCCAAACTAATGCTATCACTGACTTACAGCTACATTCAAATGCAGTCCACACACACACACACACACACACACACACACACACACACACACACACACACACACACACACACACACACACACACACACACAAAGCACTTTATCCATACCTCCTGCCTCTTTCAATCCTCCCCTGTGTTTTAATCCTACTTGTCAGTAATTAAGGCTGAGCCGGGGGTGGGCTGGGACGTGGCTATCTCCATGCGGGGGTTTGACTATAAACTGGATTTATAATGGGAGAGCGGGATTAAAACCCACTGCCCCCGCTGCTAGCATCAATGAGCCCATCTCTGTTCCATAACAGGATTTGTCCTCTGCTTTATTACAAAGGGAGGCCTGTGTTCTGAAAGGCTAGATATCCCGGCTGGCATATAATACGCTGACAAGACATTCTGCTGTTCATCCGCCCCGCTTCTCCTCACGGCTCTCTCTCTCCTCCTCTTCTTTAAGGTGTCAGATCCAGTCAGTGCAGCCTGTAGAGTCTCAGCTCTGCGAAACATCACCTGATGAGTTCTATATTGAGTTGTACCATTTAATTAATGCCACAAGTGCAGTTTGAAAAGGCTATTAGTGAGATGTTACTTGAAGTATAAATTGGCAATCGGGGGCCTCATCAGGATCTTAAATGATTCAGATGAGGGGATCTTTTTATCATTGAATCTACTCGCACTGTTGCGCTTTCATACTGTATGAGAAAAGTCTAATGCAGTTTAGCAGAATGCATCAACCCATCATCTAGGAAAAAATCATATGCTCAGTTACATCCTTAAGTGTGAAAAATAGCACTGCAGATACATTTTGTTAAAAACCCATCCGTATTGAAATGTGTTTGGTCTCTCAGAACCTTAACATAACGTAACAAATCAATCAGTAGCATCTTGCTCCAGAAAAGTGAGCTAATTTCTTAGGATAATTGATTGACTTATTTAGGGTTTGGCACTTTTTTCCAAATAAATAAACCTAATGTTAGTGCTTTTTTCATGTTCTGTGGATTGTCCCCAGTAACAGGGACATACAAACAATAATAAGAATAAACTGTAAATAATATAATTTTTCTCTCTTTTTATTTTAGTTTTGTCCTTTTTACGTGATATGTGTTTCCGCTCTCTTCATGTCTAAATCTTTCATTTACTCTATTATTTCCCACCTTTGTGCCCCTCTCTCTTTTTTCTCTGTCTTTCTGAATAGATTGTGATTCAGCCTTATGTGTCCTCCCTTTAAAGGGAGTCATATTGTCACAGACCTTCGGGAAATGAGAGTTGGGGATATTACTCTGTGTGTGTCAGTTTGTGTGTGTCACCACCAAATCAGTGCCAACTGATACAAAACATTTTTTTTTACTGAGATAATCCAGACACACTTTTTGAAAGGCTTTTCCCTTTCCAAATGCACATTTTCTTCTTCTTAATTTCACTCACACACATTTCTTTCTCCATCTCTCTCAGACGACTGCACTCCAACAATCTGCACTGCGACTGCCACCTGTCCTGGCTCTCTGATTGGCTCAGAGCCAGGCGGGGCTTGGCTCCCTTCACCCAATGCATGGCCCCCGCCCACATGAGGGGCCTCAACGTCCCAGATGTGCAGAAGAAGGATTTTCTCTGCAATGGTAAGCCAGCATCAACACGCATACTGTAAAAATAATATTCTATTGAAATATAACAGATCAAGAGTGAAGGACTCACTGCAGTTAGTGCTTCTCTTGGCATGCAAGTGATGATGTGACTCTTTCTTAACTCAAGGTGATATTAAAAGAAGCCTTCTTTTTTCTTTCTTTCTATCTAACACCTTAAGAACAAAATCCAGGAAAATAACTTTAAATAAAAACTGATCTTTGCTCCATTGCTTTTGCATCGTTTGGCACAGGGACTATAACACTTGTATAATCGAGCTTCTAAAGTTATTTTTTACCTGGAACTATTCAGAAACACCAATGCATTTATATGATATACAGATTGGATTTAAATGCAAGTTCCCTTTTGGATGTAATGTTGTTGGGAGAAGAAACTCTTTGATTTAGAGTTCAACAGCACAGGGGATGTATTAAACATAACAGTCTTTATTACAGGCGGCATTGTTATCATCTACAGACAGCTCAGCATTGAGTTTATAGCACAGAATTAATTACACCATGTAGAGCGTGTAATCAGCTAAAAGGCCAGTATAAGAGCAATAGTGTTATCAGCTGCAGATAGTAGACGCTGTTTATAGGCCTCTGATTCAGCTCTCTTTTCTAATGTCAGGCTGTGCTCTCTTTATTAGCCATTAGCCTTCTTTTTCTCTGAGACACGCTCCATGGCAGACCTCCTCTTTTGGCTCTGTTTCATTTCTGTCTCTTACCCTCCGAGTCAATAACACCCTGTCTTTCTTTTATCCTTTCTTACTTCCATCCCTACATTTGTCATTCCTCTCCTTACTTGATTTATTCTCCTGTATTCTATTTCATATTCCTGTCTCGCTCCTTCTGTTCCTAATTTTCAATATATGTTTCCAGCAATTATTTTGTTTACGCTTGATGCTGTTTAGCACTCAAATGTAGTTTATAGGTTTAATGCCAATAGATTGCATAACTCCTAAAAAAGTATTCCTGGCAGTATGCAAATGCTTCTGATACAACATGAAGACCAATACGGGACACAAAAACTCCACCCTGAGGCTTGTCTCATTGAAAGAAACTTGCATAAGACGATACAAAACATCATAAAGAATAAAACAGAAGCTAATATTTGATTGGAGACTTGTTAGCACTAGTAGTAAAGTAAAAGTAGCTGCAGGCAAGGAGTAACGTCCTATTCTCTTTTTTATATTCAGGAGTAGACTAAGAAAAGTGCTTTTCAAACAAATGAAAGCAAATCTGTTTCATTTCATCTGTACATTGCTTCCTTCAGGTCCAGCACAGACAGAGCTGAGGACTTGTGTTCCCCAGGTGGCGGTGTGTCCAGCCAGCTGCAGCTGTAACAACAACATAGTGGACTGTCGACGTAAAGGCCTCACTGAAATACCAGCCAACCTCCCAGAGGGCATCGTGGAGATGTAAGAGTGCTTTATTTTACTTCTTACATGCTACGTGTGTCTACGTTGACTAATTTGCAAAGCATATTTTGCATATCATGGATTATGCTCTCTTTAAGTGTATGCTCATCAATATCCCTACACTGTATTTTCACAGTTTTGGATATCCAGTCAATATATTTACTTTGTCATAACCCATTTAAAACTGTATTCTGGCCAAATAGCTATGATGGGCCCATAGCGAAATCTCTGCCTGAACATTTTGTGCTTTTGGTGCCACAAAAATCAAAGCAATGTATGTCCTTGTTTTCATTAATTGAACATGAATTTTGTGTGTAAAAAACGTGTTGAGATTCTAGTCTACTGAGGGAGAAGTTCTGAATTATTCATAAGATTACAAATAGATATAAGGGAATGTGTAAGCCAGCATTTGAATAAAAACGTAAGATACTATATCCATTCACACATACACACCCAGTTTGCTAACCGTGTTTTTTCCAATGGCATCTTGTTTGAGACTGCAACAGAACCCTTTCTTTTAAACACTCATACACTCACCTCCCCTTCCTCCCTCCCTCCTCCTTTGAGACTCTTACACACATTTAAACACACACACACCCCACAGTGGGACGTGTTTGATATCCGCATTGATCGTTGTACCCTGTTTGTTTGTACAGAGGACAGCTGGTTGATTGCTCTCTGAGTAAGGGAGCAATTCTCCCCCGCAACGCTACGCCAATACCCCTATACCTCCCAAGCATAAGTAATAGATTCACACTCACATACACACCAGTGCACATGCACACATGCAGACACACCGGTTTTGTAAGTGCAAACAACGTACGTACTTGGGCACAAATTACACTAACACACACATTTTTTGAGACGGTCAAACACACACACACATGCTGTGAGATTGAGCCAGCGGCTGCACAACTTGTCTGATTCAATCACCTCGGCACAGACACATACGTACACACAGGTATAGAATTAATAAATAAATGTTGTTGCTGCAGCCAGAAACAATATAGAGTAATAGGATGATGCATTGTCAGTCCTCCAAAGGGGACAAAGTCACCTTTCTGTATGATGGTGGCAAGGATCACTGACAAATCGTGTGTGTGTGTGTGTGTGTGTGTGTGTGTGTGTGTGTGTGTGTGTGTGTGTGTGTGTGTGTGTGTGTTTCATTGTGAACATGCTCACCTGCCAAACCCATCTCCATTTCTAGTTGCAATTTAATCACCACCTTGCCTTATAGATTGTTTATATAGCCTCTCTAAATGTCTTCCCCTGAACACATCTTTTGATATTGAGCCTTTAAGTGTCTTTGACTCAACCTTGTTTTAAAGCCCCCAGATATAATTTACTTTGTTGTGTCTGTTGATTGTCTCCGGCAATGTCAGTACTTCTTTGATTCATTTTGACCCCTCCGAAGAAATAAGGTTTTGTTGCTTGCCAGGGGCGTGAAGTGTGGAAATGTGTTAAGGGACACGGCCAAGAAACATTTACCTGTTAGGGTTGTGTTGCATTCAAAAGCCAGGAGCATAGTGATTCATTTGAAAGGTTTCTGCTATGACTTCAATTACAATGCATTTATTCCTGGTAAATGTGGTCAGATAGATAGATAGATAGATAGATAGATAGATAGATAGATAGATAGATAGATAGATAGATAGATAGATAGATAGATAGATAGATAGATAGATAGATAGATAGATAGATACAGTATATATATATATAGATATAAAGATAGATAGATAGATAGATAGATAGATATATAGATAGATAGATAGATAGATAGATAGATAGATAGATAGATAGATAGATAGATGGTTAGATGGTTAGATAGATAGATAGATAGATGGTTAGATATATATATTTATAAAACGGACAAGTCAAATCAAGCAATCTGATTGGTTCTTAGCCGTGATATACTGAGCGTATACCACGGGTAGAATTGTAAGTTACTTTTCACAACAAGTCAGTATCCCTCCGCGTCTGAGAAAAACAGTATACCTTTGGGTTGTTTGCTTTTCATACTGGAACAAGAAAGCAGCGGAGAAGTAACGGGGCAGAAAGCCTCCTTTTTACGCAGCGGTCNTCTTCAGGAATTGCATTCTCTAGTTTATATTAGAAATTCAGATTGTATCATGTACGATGCTGATAAGACCAGAAGTACAAAGGCTTGGTTTCACCCAACTATGTGTGTGTGTGTGTGTGTGTGTGTGTGTGTGTGTGTGTGTGTGTGTGTGTGTGTGTTTGTGTGTGTTTGTGTGCGCTTGGCTGTAAAATTGTACAATGAATATTAAGATCTGGTACCCTCTTAGAGTTCCTACACTCGAGCCAACCTGGCTAACTACTTTGCAAAGTCATTTTCAGTAAATGGCTTCAGCACAGCAACAGGAAATGAGAAAAGTTTAATAAATTCAAAGAAACTTAAGAGGAAAAGAGCAGTAGACTGAGATTAAAAGAGGACGAAAGGGAGATGCTATAAAGAAAGAAATTGAGAGAAGAAAGAAACAAAGATGTAATGGACAGGAGAGCCAGACCACACTTTGTCCATGGCGTCAAACTTGGCAGCCAAGGCGATGGCCTAAGTTGCTAAAGGCAGGCATTGCTGCGCTAAGAGCAACGTCACCGTAGAAACCACAAGATGATGTAATTGACAGCTGCTGCTTTTACTATCCTCAGATTACCCAGTAAAGATGTGTGTATGTATCTGCTTTTTTGAGAAATGGGATGCAAAGCAGTATCTGGAAGGATTGTTGAAGTGTTAAACAAAGATACAATAATCAGGACGTGACGATATTTGATTCAGATATCAGTGACATTTTCGTGGGAACAATGGATTTTCCTCATGCAATTAACAATCATTATAAGACCTTTATCTCACCACCCAATGCTCCACTGCAGCAGGAATTTCCAGGGTTCTCTCATATTCATTAAAATACCTATTTTTCCTTCTCCCATTAGCAGAAAGAGAGACTCACCGTCGCATGTGAAGTCCGGGGTGGCCACATCCTGGATGGGGATCTCCTTCAGGAAGGCGGGCTTCTGACAGCGAGGGTTTCCACTGACCACCCTCGTCTTCTTCAGCCACTGCCCCAGCCAGGACAGATGACAATCACACACATATGGGTTGGACAGGAGGTTACTGTGAAGATAAAGAGAGAGCGAAAGGGAAATCGTTGAAAACGGGGTCAAGGCAAACAATTAAATACACCGAAAGTTGGAGGTTCTGTTGCTGCAAAAATGTAGTTGGGGAACAAACATGTTTACAATCAATTCATCATGGAAAAAAAGCTGCACACCCTTAAAATACAGGTTTTCCCCAAATCTTACAGAAATTTAAAAAAAAATTGGTGCACTCAGACATTATTTATATATATGTATGTGGTATATTGTACACTGAGAAACACAGAGATATAAGTTATTTTTGTTTTTCGTTGGATTTGAAGACATTTAAATGAAAGACAAAGAGAGCAATGGAGAGAAAGGACACAAAAGAGAAAAGGTTATCATTTCTTTCTTATTCATGTGGAGTACAAGGACGATGGAGAATGGAAAGGAGAGGTGGCAGAGTGAGACATGTTGACAGAGAGAAAGAAAAGAGAAAAGGTTATCTGTACATTTTATTCATTTTTGATCAACCCTCATAGCATTTAGTTGCTTTTGTCACACTGCTCATGTAATATTCATAATGAACCATCTTTAAACTAAATGGGGGCCGAGGAGGAATCAGCAGCACATACTAGACAGGCGGTATACTTAGGTACATTTTCTTCTCAGCTCACTGCCACTTCAGATCAAATACAGCTCACTGATTACTACTTCTTTCTTTTTTAAGGAGATTTAGGGTTGATACATTATGTAGTAAAACAATATGATGAATATACTGTGAAACGAAAATGTCTTTCTATATTGCTACCTTTCACTGACAATAAGTGGAACACTTTGGGAATCAAGGACTCACACCAATCTATTTAATGATGATGTTGTGTCTTCAAGTCATGTCAAGACATGCTTGCGGCGGCTGAACTAATCAACCTGAATGTTGCTGTTTGTGCAACAATATTAATGGTGTGCCGCTATACTGTAGATAGGGTAGACGAGTTATTTCCTCATTTCCTTGTAATGAATTGACCTTGCTGCCTGGCAACCCGACATACGTTAAATCCCTTCCTTCCTTAACAATGTGTTAATCTTTTAATTAAACGGACAAACTCTATTGGAAAACAATGCAAATGAAGACTGATATTAGAAATAGAGAGAGAGAGAGAGAGAGAGAGAGAGAGAGAGAGAGAGAGGAGAAAAACAGAAGAAAGATAAGGAAATAAACGAAGGAAGTGTTCAGAACTAAGCTCCAGAAATAGAAACGATCCATCTTTCCTTCACAGTAAACAGCAGTAGGTTGCATGGGAAATCAAGTGTTACTGCTAGGCCAATGAAAAAGTGATGCTGAAAAAAGAATGACAGTGAAAAATGACAGGGTGCATGGTAATAGAAAATCGTTCCATTTTTGTAGTGATAATCACAAACAGCCCCACTGAGCACACCTGAGTTTGTGCAACAATGCATCCACCCATCCATCCTCCCTCTGTCACATCCTCATTTTCCCTCTCTTGTCTCCCACCTTTCCTCCCGAAAGACTCAAGGAGGAACTTGAATTGAAGATGACAGGTACACAACAGGATATGGAGCGAGAACAAAAGGCAGAACAGAAGGAAAGGAAGCAGGAGAGTGTGAGGAGACCTTTTTTTGGCTTGGCATGGCAAATCAATTATTTACAACCTTCACATCTAGGTGGTCAGAAGACTGGAAAGGAAAACACATAACTTTACGTCATGGCAGCTTCTGTATCATGAAAAGGCTGAACACCAGTAAACATTTGTGCACCAATGAAAGCATGTATGCTATACATACAGGCACACACATAACATTAAATAGTAGGCCAACTCATGTTTTAGTCGCAGCAGGTGTGTTCATTTTTGAGAAGATAAAAACAAGCTTGCAGATGCTCCTGCTTGTGTCTGGGTCTTTGTGTGTGTGTGTGTGTGTGTGTGTGTGTGTGTGTGTGTGTGTGTGTGTGTGTGTGTGTGTGTGTGTGTGTGTGTGTGTGTGTGTGTGTGTGTGTGTGTGTCGGTGGTTGCACAGATGCTGAGATAAATATAGCTTTGATAACAAATGTCCTGGGATCCAGACCAATCTAGTCGATAATGATGGAGAGCATCTGTGAGGAGAACAGCATCCAGAGAGAAACTTGTGTGTGTTTGTGTATGTGTGTGTATGTTCTGCTAACAAATTCTGAGCCAGAGGGAGACAAATAGTTCAGACAAGAAAGAGGGACTAACTTTGTTGCGATTCTGCCAGATTTAAAGAGAGACAAAAATGTAATTGGGGCACAAGTTGACAGAGAATGATGGGATGAAAATTAAGAAAAAAACGGAAAACAAGGAGTAGATGGGGAGAGGGGGAGAGGGGTAGGAAAACATGAGACTTACATGGTGGACAGGGAGTGGAGGGTGGAGAAGGCTCCAGGAGCGATGCTGGTGATCCTGTTGTCGTACAGCGACAGCAGACGCACCGAGCTCAGACCCGTGAATGTACTGTTGTCAATGCAGCTGATCTGGTTGCTCCGCAGCATTCTGCAAACACACAGCATGTATATTTAGTAAACAGATCTTGATATACAACGTATATGTAAGCAAGGGCCAATTATTTCTAAAAGGCAGTCGTTCTGTTTATCCTTTTCCTGAAAATGTGTTTATTGAAAAAGTTGTATCTATAATAGACAACAACAACAAATTCAGTGTACACACTTTGGCTAGATAAAAACAGACGGACTGAAGATAAAAGAGCATAACCTATAATGACATGAACAAAAGATAAAACAGAAAGCAAGGGGAAATTCAAACCAGTCCCCATAGGACCATCATGACAGAGACTGTAATATGACATTAGCATTTGACACACAGTCATGTGGGACCAGGCTAACTGAGTTAGTTAGCATTAGCAATCTCTGGGAGAGGCTAACCTAGTTAGCAAAGCTATTACTGGACCAGGGAGCCTCTTAACATAATACAGAGACAGCCATGATGTCATTAGAGAGTCATTAGCCGGCATATATGAACATGATAGCATTAGCTAGTCATTACGCAGAACACACAGACAACATTAGCTCATGGTTGCATACACTATCCTGTAACCCCTAATTGGACGCTAGCCTATTTATGGTAGGAGCCCAAATTAGAAGAACAACAAATGCTGTCATTAGCTTTGATTCCAGTGTGAGTGATTAAACAATCCTGCTGCACTCTTTAAAGTCTGCAGGAGAAAAAGTTAGTCAAGTCCTCCATAAATTAAATGTGGAGGGTTTAAGGCACCAGAGCAACGTTTGCTGACCATTTTGAAAGAAAAATATAACTGACAGGACAACTAAACTATAAAAGTGGCTTTTATGTGATTTCAAAGCTCACAACAGTTAACTTGGCTTTGTTCTCAGAATGGCAAGTTTCAATAAAATCATTTACATATTTGTATTCATTAGCGTTAGCATTCTGAAAATGGGAGCAACTTTAAACTTCCTAATTACAGGTAGCGTCCACTACCGACAAAACTGAAGTGCTGAACACACACACATAGACCATACTGTACACACACATAGACCATACACACACACACACACACACACACACACACACACACACACACACACACACACACACACACACACACACACACACACACACACACACACACACTCTCACACACACAGACACACAGAGAGACACACATAAACATACATTCAGACACACACACACACACACACACACACACACACACACACACACACACACACACACACACACACACACACACACACACACACACACACACACACACACACACGCAGTAAACCTGACTTACAGAGTTTTCAGGCCGATGAGTCCTTTGAACATGCGTCCCTGCAGTCCAGTTAGCTTGTTCCCTGTCAGCAGCAGCTCCAAAACTCCACCCGCTCCATCAAACGCACCTTCACGGATGTCTCTCAGCTTGTTGTTACTCAGGTTGCTGCATGAAAGACAAAGATGTACACATGTTGCAGAATTTGATATTTAGGTTTTTCTGCTTGTGTTTGTTTGAACTACAGTACATGCAGGAAAGCCTATGATGTCATATTTCCAATTGAACTGCACTGATCAATCATGTTTCTTAACAAATACATATTAAATGTTCTTTCCATCTCAATGTCCTCGTCTTGTACACTAGATATTTTGATAACAGCTTCCAGCAATGGCCATAACTTTCTACACTATGAAGCACATTTACACACCCACACAAAAGAAAATGAGACAAGTGGTCACAGGCAACTGAAAAGGATTGCAATCTCTCTTCCTTGCGCACATAATGAGAACAATTTAAATGAAAAGGGAGCATTTGGTCACAGAGACAATAACTTGAGATGATAGCTATCATAACTACTGTAGCTTTCATTCAAAGCTAGTTTTGTGTTTCCTCTTATCAGCTTGGAAGAGGAGAGGAGGAAGAAGAGAGGAGACAAGGGGGGAAGAGCATAGAAGGAAAAGGATGGACAGACAAAATAAAAAAATTAAATATACATATGCAGTTAAGTTTGAAATATAATAAAAGCAGCAGGGCAGATGCAAAGGATAAGAGAACATGTGAGGTGAGGAGGAAAGGAGATGAGAAATAGAGGGAAGGAATTGAGAGCAGGAAAATGGAAATGAGTGCTACCCAATCTATATCGTCAGTGACACTGCTAGATGGTTAGCAATTTCCTCTCCAATAAATCAACTTCTGGTTTCAGCTCTGTCTTTCTCTATCTCGCTCTGACACACACACACACACGAACCGAGAGGAGGTCGTAGATAAGGAGTGACTGTAAATCTGAACCGAAGGCCCATCTTCTATTCCCATTTAATATTCGCTTCCTCCATTTCTCCCGCCCACCCTTCCTCACCCTCCATCTCTCTCTGCCCCTCCCATCCTCTTTCTTGTCCTCAGCCACTCTTCTTCCTGCGATCCTGTCTCTCTCAGTTTCACTCTTGCCCTCTTTGCATTTATGTGTTTTTACACTTTCCTCTTCCCTTTTTTCCTCTTTAGATCCTCGCTTTCCTCCTTATTTTCCCCTTTCCCTTCCATTGCCTTCCCTCTATCACCTGTCCTTCCATTTCCTGACTCTTTCTTAACGTCCTTCATCCCTTGTTGCTGTCCATCAACCGTTTTTAGCTGTTTTTGTCCAACTGTCTAATGTCAGTCATCTAGAGCAGTGGTTCCCAAGCTTTTTTCCCAAGAGCCCCCCCAAATGACTCCTGTTGGAAGTTGTGCCCCCCCACACACACACGCAACAGCGGTAATTACAGTTTAAAAGTCTCAAAAATGCTGCAACTACTGTCACAAACTGGATGAATGTGATGTATTTTGTTAAAGGAGGATGAAAGCGTAATGAAGGAGCACTATTGGAGTGACTTTGATGGTTATTGGAATCAGGATTCATTCTTTTGGATTCCCGCTGTATGAAGAAATTAAAGGACGACGCAAGTGGAAACAATTCACAAAGGGATTCAATTTAAATTATAAATTAAAAGTTGTAAATAATCTACAAAATGGAGGAGACCGATCTGATCGGAGCAACTGTGACAAATAATCCAACTGAAACCGGCATGGACAATGACTATGTTTTAAAAATGTGCTTATCCAGACAAGCCTGGTTTGACACTTTACGGGCAGAAGAAACATTTCTATTAAAGAAAGAATTTTACATTTCTGTCTTTTTATGCCTTTAATAGCTACTAACTTGAATTGTTATTCAAATTAATTAATCAATTATTTTGTATATGTTATTGTAATGTAAAGACAAGGCTTTTAGTGACAATCATGTATTGCGTTACAATTATATAAAAAAAAAAAGTAAAAAAAAAAAAAAGTCTAAATATGATGATATTTGGCCTCAAATCATCTGAGGCCTGGCGCCCCCCCTGCGATATTTGGCGACCCCCCCCCTAGGGGGGCGCGGCCCCCAGGTTGGGAACCACTGATCTAGAGCCTTCATCTATCGGCCATATTAAGAAAAGTGTTAAGACTGGAAATGAGCAAGATCCAATTATTAAGATCCTCATTAGCTCACTTTCAGAGGACACAATTTATAAATGCATGCATTATTAAATTAATAAATACATGTAAAAAACACACTTATTGAAGAAATGCTTGCTTCATAATAAAAGCATACATACATCTTCTTCAAGTTTGGCAGCTTCTTAAACGTCCCTGCAGCCTCCAGTATGGCAATCTCATTGTCGTTTAACCGCCTAGAGAGGGAAAGATAAAGGGAGTGGGTTAGACATTTTTCTTTCATGAAACAAACTGCACACAAATGAAGATGCGCACACACACACAGCAACAAGATGGAGAGATAAAGGCTGCAAGTTAGGGGGGAATGACCGCGTGAAGGTTAAGAGGCCTTTACTGACTGCTGAAGTATGATGTGCCGAAAAACCAGAGGAGGGAGAAGAGAATAATTAAACATGTTGGAGAAGAGGAGCAATTCATCTTTTCTATACGGTCATCAATACCCACACTGCCCTAAGCACAGAGAACAGTTTGAGAGGAAGGAAGCCCAACATCTGCTTTATTGAGGTAATTTGTACTAAAATGGTGCTGCTAAAAGGATGCTTCTAGGCTGTGTGTGTCAAAGTCAAAGTCAGCTTTATTGTCAAAATTACTACATGTGTTATACATCCAGAAATCTCGAGATACCGTTTCCCGCAGTCCCACAGTGTGACATATATAAAGCAAAACAAAAAGGGCCTAGATAAACGGGGTATACAATTTAAAATGTTAATAATATATTTAAAATGTTCAAAGTACAGTTTCAGTGCAGTAGCAGCGGAGATGGGCAGAAAACTGACTGGTGCTGGATGAGGGTAGGTTGTGTGTGTGTGTGTATGTGGGGGGGGGGGTTAAAGTCCAGGACCATTTGGGGCAGGGGGGAAAGGTGGGAGGCAGTGTGTGTGTGAGTTTGTGTGAAAAAGGCAGGAGACATTGAGGATGGGAAGTGAAAGTTCAGCTGACACTTTTTAATGAGATACAGTTAAAGATCGATCAACCTGGATAAAGCCATGCTGAGAATATACATTGCGAAATCCAAATCCAAGCGGTGGCAAAACATTTATAATCGTGTGATCCATCACTCTCAGAATATACACATGTATTGAGTCCAAATAGATATTCTAAGATTCTTGTATGCTTATTGAAGACTTTCAAGGCCAAAGCCGAAGATGGATTTTCTGTGGCTAGTGGGACGAGTCACAAAGAAAGACAGAAGAGAGAAGACATATATAAGCCTTCAGCTCAGCAACCTCCCATGATTTCCCCTGATAAGGCAGGTTACAAAGGGCACAACTGTTGGTGTGTGTGTGTGTGTGTGTGTGTGTGTGTGTGTGTGTGTGTGTGTGTGTGTGTGTATTTGTGGCCTTGAAAACCCCTCTGGTTGGTTGTGTTGTTAAGAAAAAGGCAAGAAAAAGAGAGAGGGTGTCGAAAAGAGTAGAAACTTTGATCTGCCCTCTAACCACCCATGAAGGACAAAGTTTATATTTTTGACATGAAGCACCATGGGAACAGATAGAGGGGGAATGAGAGAGGACTGGAGGATACAAAAGTTCACAGAGGGAAACAGAACTAAAGAGAGCGAGAAAGAGGAATTGGGAGCTAATGGTCTGTGGTATACTGACATTATTATTGATCTAAAGTGGCAGCCACGGTTGAATTCCCCATTATACACCTTCATAAGCAACCGTCCTGTATTGGCCTTAATGCTGCATTGGTCTCTTATTCTGCAGCGTTTCTCCATTAGTAACACAGTGATAGCCATGGCAGAAGCTTTTTGTCCCTCACCTACATTTTAAAGTTGTGAAGTGATTCAACATTATAAGGTAAAACTTTGCCTCCGGCTCGATTCCTATTTCCGGTGTTAGAAATATTAGCTTATTGAATATTCGATCAAATGCCAGGTGCTGAAAGTAAAATGGTGCTTGCTACACTTTTCTTGTGTTCCAGTTTTGACTCACTCACTTAGTTTTCCTGTATATTATCCTAACACAAAACGTCAGCACTCTCTTGTATGCTCACATGTTTGCTTCAACTAGCAGATTAGGAGCACACAAGCTTTAACCTTTTTTGTAATCAGGTTAAGGTATTCCTTTTGCGTGCTTTCTGTTACTCTCGTTCCATTTTTCAGCAGTACAATGAAAGATCCATGGGACTGCTCAGTATTCTATTGTGAGACCCTTCGCCAGGCATGATGATGGCTGCTTTGGGACTTTGAGGGCGATGGAAAAGACTGCTGAGTGGCATTTTGGTCCCAGGGCAAAAAATGAAAAGTGACATTTGTGGTAGAGCTCTAAGAGAGGCGGAAAGACATCGGGAGGAAGGCAGACATGTGTGCGTGTATTGCATATGTGAGCATATCTTTGCATGTATGCGAGCCTATCTACTTCTGATATACCTGAGTATGTTTCCATTTGTATTTATGGATGTTTTGGTGTGTGCATGTGCCTGAGAAAGTGAAAACGTCCTGACAGGTCTGTGGCATGAAGTATAAGGGTTTGCAGTTTCAGGTTAAAGCAGTCTGACACATGGCTTTTAATCTGAAATGTCAGCGTGTGTTCGCATACATTAAACTGTACGTGTGTTAATGTTAAAAAGGAAACACGGCTGACTTACAGGTCTGTGGTGTGGTCAGGGATGTGTGGAGGTACGCGGGTCAGTTTGAGATTGGAGCAGTCGACCACAGTGCCTTCACAGCGACATTTCTCAGGACAAACCAGGTCCTGGAAACAGTCCCCACTCAGACGACTACGATAGTCCTCCTGACCTGCAGAGTCAAGATGGAGGGGACGAACAGAAGAGGAAGAAAGTGACAAAGGAGAAATCAAAAACAGAGTGGGGGGACAAACCAAAGGATTGGCAGCAGGTGGAAAGGGAAAGGAAGAATAGCCAGGTGAATTAGGTCAACAAAAAGAATGGGAAGTAGAAAGCAAAAGAGGGAAAAAGATAAAGGGTAAGAGAAAAAGACAAACACAATGGTTATTCCATTTATATATGAAAAGACAATCCTATATACCTTATAATAAAGGCAACATGTTATCCCAACCAATATACACTTGTACATAAGATCACATGAATATTAGGAAGTATCCGTTTGCACTGCCAGGTTTTTGTCTAATCTGTTTCCTGTTGGAATTCAAATGTACTTTGGCTTTAATATTCCCTGTAAAAAGGTTGTTAAACATATTTGCAATATATTGGTGGAACTGTGTGTCCTTCATGTTCTTGATAAAACAGGCAGCAGCAGTCCTGATCACAGGGCTGATGCTGAAGGGTGGGGGACAAGGCTTCAACTATAAATGAAAGTAATAAGCATGTGGTTTCATAAAATCATTTTGTTCATAAACATGGTTTAACCCCGGATGTTTCTTAACAAGGTAAGCCAGAGACCAATACTATTATTTGGACATATTGTGAGCAGATATTATTTATGACCGTTAGTGCTTGTGAAACAGAGCTGGTTTAAATCATGCAGCAGTTGTATTTGTGCACCACAAACACGTTTTAAAGGGTCTCACGGATATCATTACCCGTCTGTCTCTCTTTTCAACCTGGCTTGTCTATCTGTTCTCGGTCAATTTAACCTTTTCTGTTTTTTGCCAGTCTCCTGTCAGACTGCTTTTTGATTGGCACAGAATACTTGTTCTTTGATTCTCTGTCTCCACTCTTATGTGCTTTCTCGTCACTGATAAAGAACTAAGACCACCTATGCATCTGTTACGAGATTTGGCTGCTTAGCTACATTTTTGACTGCCACAAGCACTGTTGGTTGGCAAGACAGAAAGTAAAGAGTAGGGCAGCGAGTAAGGTAATAAGGGGGAGATGGAGAGCAAATCATGTTGGGTAGGGACTCAGGATTTAATATTACTAATATAAAGAAGGAAAGGGGAGCGGCAGACAAAAAGCAGGTAGAACATAGTGGGGGAAGGTTTGTAACAACAGTCTACTAACACACCAACAAAGAGTTTAATCAGACTGAATCCAAAACACTGTGTTTTATTGAGTTTATCATGCATTTGAGACCCTAAAAATACACTTCAACACTTTCCATAAGAAACAACATTAGTTAAAAAGAAAACAGAGTTCCAAATGTATGTTGGCAGTTGAGCATTCATGAAGGATGTTTATGAATGCCTGACATAATTGATTAGATTGGTTATCAATGTAAATGTATTTCAACCACAGTAAGAGTCCCATGTATCAAAAGCCCTACACATAAATACAAACAAACAGAGGTAAAGAAGTAAACCCTTATTTTTTGCTCCAAGGCGCGTGATTGGCTGGGAGAGGCAGGTGGGAGTGTGCTCGGCGGTCCCTGGCGCTTGACGGAACCATGTGATGCCACAGTAGGCGGGGCCACATGGTTAGATCAAGCACAAGAGACAGCTGCACGAACCAATCAGAATGCAGGTCCTCACAGGAGGAAGGCGGGGCAACAGAGAGCTGCACCAATCAGTGAGGGGGGCGGGGTCCATACAGGATAGGAGAGGCAAAGGACAGCTGCAGATCAACCCGCCCACCAAACGAAAAGTCCACAAAGGTCCAGAGAGGAAGAGGAGATGCAGGGAGAGGAGGCATGGGACTGCAGAGAGCGAGGGCCGAAGCAAAGAGCAGCCATAACCAGCTTCAGATTTGTCATCGATATCTTTATTAACTCCATGGGCAGAGCACTAACAAAAAGGGTTAGCTTACCACTGAGACCTTCCATGCTAAACTGCAAAGCATAAAAGCCTTTACCATTTAATAGAACTGGTGATGCTACTCACTTTGTTCCCGCTTCAGGCTAGGACAAACCATTTTAGCTAAAAAAAAGAAGGGGTGAAAATCTAATATCCCCAAATGGTCGGTCCTACTCTGATGGAAACAATTGATTTAGTGCGTTTTGTTTGCCTTTCTGTTGTTTCTGCTGTTGCATTATTCTTTAGTGTCATGCTCCAAATAAAACAAATATGTGCAACAGAACGTGACTCCTAGCAAAGCTGCTTTTATGCAAACAAATATGTTGTTCATTATAAAACATTAAATAAATAAAACCCTTAAACAAACCCTTATTAGCATATTTTGTGGACATCTTTTTTATTTTTTGGCACAATCCCATTCAGTCTAAGGTTAAAGTGATTGATTAAACACAGTTGACAAAGATGCTCCTCTATGCTTCCTTGTAAAACCAATTATTAGCTTTCAACCACCACAGAGTTTGTACAATGTCTGTAAAGGGGATTTCGCAAATCTATTTCCCAGTGATCCATAAAAAGGCATTCAATTAAGAAAGAGAAAACAGCATGAAGAGCCACTGCTGAGAGACTGGGGATGTCAAGTAGACGGTCCTACACAGACACAGTCATTCACACACTCACAAGTGGGCGATCACAGTCTATAGCCAGTCTCCGTGGAGTTATTATTTTGCTGCTCCAGTATACTGAATTGGTCTGTGTTGTAATTAGTGAGACCCATGGCTCGCATCAAAGGAAATAACAGCAATAAAATATTACCACAGAGAGACAGACTTGCGTTTGAGTGTGTGTGTGTGTGTGTGTGTGTGTGTGTGTGTGTGTGTGTGTGTGTGTGTGTGTGTGTGTGTGTGTGAGAGACAATAAATGCACATCAATTTCTAATTGCACACATAAACCAACATGGTTTTCAAACTACAACTATTAATAACATTTTATTTGGCAATCATGACATGTTACCTTTCATCTGATTAGTGTGAATGTTAGTGCAAGCATTTCATTGTGTGTGTGTGTGTGTGTATGGATGAACTAATTTCTTACCTGTGCACCTGAACTTCTTGCCTTTCACCTGGCTGATGCGCTTGTTAGCCAGCCTCCTGGGATGGCTGCAGCGCGCTCCGCTGGTCTCAATCGGGTTGTCGAACAGGTAGTCTGCCAGCCACTTCAGGTGACAGTCACACATGAAGGGATTCTGGGCCAGATGACTGAGAGAGAAAGAGGATGATGGGTTTGTCAGAGGATAAGGAAATATTAGGACTGTACGGTTACTGCAGCGTCTGATCTAAAGATGCAAAACAGTCATGATTAAACTGAAACCAAACACTGTAACATTTGTCATACTGTAGATGTGAGACCTTGGTGCAGACAATAATTCCACTTGGAAAAGCCAAGGGGGAAAGTTTTCTATTTCCAATTTTTAAAGTAAACTTAGGACAAAAAGTTGAAGTATTGTACTCGCAGTTTGATTAACAAGTGATAGGGCTAGGGCTACAACAGAGGCGGCCAGGGGTCAATTGGCTAGTTTTGTCAAATTACAGTTAAATCAAAATGTGTATTCTCGAATATATTACGAAGAAAAACAGCAATATATCACGTTAAAGAAGAAGGGACCGGAAGTACTTGCCATTTTATTCGGGAAAGTCTTAAACCAAATAAACGATAAACCAATTACTGAAATACTTGCTGATTAATTTGAATAATTGCAGTAAGTTTAAGAAAAACTCCTTAAAACCTTGTTTTACTTACAGAGTCTTGATGGAGCGCAGAGGGGCGAACAGTCCTTTGCTGATGGTTTGCATTTTGTTGTCGTACAGTGACAGCAGGTTGAGGTTCTGCAGGTCTTGGAAGGTGTTGACTCTCAAACAGTTAATTTTGTTGGCATTTAGCAGCCTGAAACACAATCAGGAGACTTTTGTTATTTATCCGTTTTTCTTTTACCTATTCAGCTTCATTAACTCAAACACAAACAAAGATAAACACACCCACTGATAAAGAGGTACTTCATTTTTCCTAGCAGCATCTACTGCGGAACCACTATTTTATTTTCTCCCCTCTCCTCTTCTTGTTATCCTTATTTCTCTCTCCGTCCCTGACCATAGCCACAGTCGTGATAATATTTTCTCTGGCCGTGATACAGGAGATGAATCAGAAAATTGCGGTTTTATATATTTCCCCTTATTTCTCGGAGCAAGGGAGGAACATCTACTGTTATATCTTTGTTTTTGATGGGAGAGACAGATGGCAAGGGGAAACAGAAAAGAGAACGGAAAGACAAAGTAGAATGGAGTTTGGATGGAGGAAATAATGGAGTGAGAGTGAAGGGACAGGCCAAAATGTAATTTTGAGTGACACAGATATACAATTAAGTGAAAGCGGCTGGCAGACAAAATGGAGGAGTGAGAGAAAGGGAAATGAGAAATGTGATAGAGGGATTAGGTAAATGACAGGAAAGGTTTGCACCTCCACCCTTTCCTACATCTCTCTTTCATTCCTGCACTTCATTAGCGCAGAATTGACAGCTTGTTCCTGTACCTCCATCTCTCTATTTTCCACTTCTTGTCCGAATCACTCTCAAACTTTTTACTCTTTTGGTACAAAACACCTCTATTAATTCCTTCCTTGTTTCTTTGTTCCTTACACTCTCTTTCTCTTCTCTTTCTTTGTCTGACAGGTGACTAACTTGGTGCTGGTACATCATCTCAAGTCATCTTAACGAGCGCTTATACTTGCACAACCTGCTTTCTACACACACACACACACACACACACACACACACACACACACACACACACACACACACACACACACACACACACACACACACACACACACACACACACACACACACACACACACACTTATAATGGCAGATACACACAAACACACACACGCTGCTCTGCGACATACCCACGCCTCATTAGTCAGCTCACAGGGGGAACTAATTACTTGAAACTGCATCAGTAAAATAAAGCAGCGCAGACAATATAAACAGACCGGTAGCTATACAAAGCAATAAACTCATCTTTGTCACGGAAGGTTGACAAACTGCTTGATTCCCCAGTGAAAGATAATTCATAATTTAAAATGATGGCACTATATAGGAGAATAATAGCTACTTGAAATTCCTGACATACTGACTGACATTATTCTTCCATCAGCGGAGAAATATTTAAACATGTTTGCCTCCCTACGCCTGCTGAGCGAGCGCCAGCAGGCAATGTCTTTGTGGGATTGACCAATGATGTGGCAAGACAGGAATATTAAGTCGTCAATCAGTACATTATTTATTCATCCATTGAAGCAGCTCAACATGCAGAGAACTGGTTTTGAATTATCCAATTAAGGCATCAAGTGTTTAGGTATAAGCAAACATAAAGCATTTTAGAGTTTAACATCATCATGACAAGGTGTGAAGGGAATGCTTTTCCAATGCGGGGATATTAACTGTTAATGATGTCATGACATGTAAAAAACACATTTCGTCTCTTTCTGTTTTTCTAATATGTTCTGCACTTCATCAATATCTTTCTTCCTTTTTATCCGTGTCTTTTTTCTTTATGTCCTTTCTTATCCATCTTCATCTGTCCATACCCCCCTCCCCCCCTTTCTCTCTGTGTCTGACTATGCACCATGCATCCCAATGATCCACCTAAGCCCATAAAAGGTGTTTGTGGGTTAGATTCACTCATCCTCATTCTCTTTGCCTCACTTCCCTTTACGACGGAAAAGCCCAGAACATTAGCTGCTTCTGCAGTGGACTGCGGCATTTGCAGGGACCATATGCCACATACAGTACCAACGCAGCCGTTATAGGAGAACACATCTTTACTGCATGCTGAACCTCTGCTGCAGTGTGAACCTCTGCCCATGAGGATATATTCACGATTAATAGTTGTTGACACTAATTGTTAGAAGAACTATGGGGGATCACATTATCTTTATTACAGTTCATCAGTTTGGTTCATGTTGACCATTTAGAAAATAGTTTTCTGTGTACACACACACAATGCAGGACAGATGGAGCGTTAATGCATGAATAGGGGATGCTACTATAGCTGCCAGTGTGCAATTGTGATGATTACCAAGATGGGCTGTTGCTCATAAAACGTCCACTATGCTGTATATTGAAGCACATAAAATTGTCCGTAGCTGTGATCATTGTACAAAGGTAATGTACTGTAGATATGACTCTCACGCTGCGCCACCAAATCATCTTAATCAGGAAACTTAAGTACTATTTAGCTTTATGATGCTCCAATTGGTACCAATTTAATTGCCACTGCAGGTAAATCTAGCCTCCTTATTAAGATGATATAAACGTCTGACTCAACCAAAGATGGCTGGTATTTTTCCATCCTAGTTTTTCATATTCTTGCCCTCAAGGTACTTTTCTTCTTGGCCACAAAATTCGGTGGTATATGTGTGACTTATGCCACACAGCGGTTATGTTCCTTGCCGATAAATCATCTGCATTGAAGTCCATATGTTTGTAGGCTGTAATTCATTTTACAGGTCACATGTTTATTGGTTGCCACTTAATCAATTTTTTTTTTAAAAGCTACAAATTCTCACCAATAGAGTTTCCTCTTAAGTTAAACCTTTGAATGTGATTTTCTTTTGTTTACTGAATAATGTGTTTCATTGTTTTCTTTGGGGCACACATAAACACATATATACACACACACACACACACATAACAAGAGACCACACAGACAGTACTTACAGTAGCTGTAGGGCAGCCAGTCCATCAAACAATCCCTTGGGCAGCTCTGTGATCTTGTTTCCGTACAACACCCTGCACAGGACAGTCAAAACAACATCATTTAGCTTACAGTGTTTACGAGGCTGTCCGCACACATGAAGGAGGCTGCGCAGCACATTAAATACTTTGTTGTTTGGACATTATTCCTGCTCTAATCCGCCACTGGAGAGTGCACTGCTCTGCAACCATACATATTTTAAAACACATCAATCTTACAATCTCATTTTGATCATGACATGATGTTTTGGCCATGATTTAACCAGTGACTCTTACAGTCAGCCTATCCCAATTGAAACCCTGAATCATATTTTGCTTTCCTATTCATTTCCATGTTTAATGCCTGTGTTGAACATAGCATGACAAGCTTATTCCACTCATAGGCAACACAATCATAAACTTTGAAGATATATTGATTTTACTGGGCTGCTACACTTTAATACAAAAATGGCACCTTCAACCAAGATGCCTTTTAAAATGACTTTCCCCTGAACCTATCTGCTTGGAATGGAAACAAAGACATTGGTCAGATTATAAAATCACAGTAATTTAGTACAACCTCTTGTTCTACTAAATACACAGTTGAATCATTCTTCAGATGTGATCGTGGAAAACTGAAAGTATGTCTGAGATGTGCTTCTCATTGCAGTTGTAATCATTTAATTCGCTTTAGCAATTTTATACCTGGCTAAATCACGCCTTAGCTGGCCTGCAGTGATATTCCTGTTCTACTGACTCTGCTGTGTGTGTGTGTGTGTGTGTGTGTGTGTGTGTGTGTGTGTGTGTGTGTGTGTGTGTGTGTTAAGATGCTTGAAATGGAGATCAGTCCAGCGGCAGAATTGCTTACTGTCATTCATGCCCTTTGCACACGAGCACAATCACTTGCATGCACACACATAGGCAAACAAACACACACACACACACACACACACACACACACACACACACACACACACACACACACACACACACACACACACACACACGCACACCTGCCTTTATTAAAACGTCACATTCAGTGAATATACTGTGTGCTGTCATGCTGTCTGCTGTGAAAGGGAACGGCTGCGTATTTACAGTGAATTGTAAATCCTGCCGAGCACTCAGCTGTCAGACTCTTATGAATTGCTAATTTGTTGTATCTCGTGCTGCCGATCCCCCGCATTCTGGCCCCTATCACTTCCTTTGTGCACTGAGCAAAAAAAATGAGAAAGGGAAATAAAAAAACTTTGCTTAAGGTAAAAAAACCAGCCTGAAAGAAAGATGATCAAATAAACCTTCCAGCATCTCAAGTAAACTAAAGCTTTTTTCGAGTACAACACAGACATCTACAACATGTGCCATGACTCGCTGTGGTCCACAGAGTAAGCTGCCATATATTGAACCATTTTCCTCTGTTTCCTGCTCTCTTTAATCATTCATGTGAACACATTAGGCAGTACCACACTGCGCCAGGAACCCTCACACCTCCAACAGCACGATACCCATCAAGAAGAGGCTGAGGTCTCACTGAGCTTTCACATTAGAAATCCATCGGTTCTACTCTATATAATTATGATACATGTGTTTAACCTTGTCCTTAATCACATCATGGTAAATAGAGTGATTTCCAGGAAAAAAATGTAATTGATACAATGGTTTCAATATCTGTCTGTATAGGATTTTTCCTTTTGCCATTTAATATATCATTCTGGAAAAAGACCATTGACTTTGGTGCGAACCACATTTTTAAATTCTCTGATTTGCATTATGTCCTAAAAATAAATTGTATTCATTTTTTACATAAATGTCTCTTCCTTAAAAGCCTGTCTGAAAAAATGTTTCTGGGTAGTGCAGATCTTTATGTGATAATGAGACATATTTTCCTCCAAAAGCAGCCAATTAGAGTTCTGGTCTTCATTATTGGGAATAACGCTGGTTATTGTCACAACATGAGAATCAACAACCTCTTCCCTGTTCAAATGTCAACTTTAACACCGTCTTTTTAGATTGACGAGTCTGTTCCTGCAGCTCTCTCTCTGCGGACCTCAACCATGTCCACTTGTAATGACCATCATTTAGCCGTGTTCCATGTAACATGGGACCGACAGACGAGAGGTTTGGGAGCTGCTGTCAGATTTCTCTCCTTTTTCTGAGCTCGTTTTTTCCAATCATCTTGTCGTTTCCTCTGCTGGCTTGTCCCCTTGTTTCTTTAAGTGACCAATTCTGTCTTTGTCTAGGAGTCTGTCTTTATCTCTCTTTTCTTCAGCTATATTCTTTTTGCTGTACAGTTACTCTAATAGACATATTAAGCAAAAACACTTGAATAAATGCCTTGCCAACAACCCTTTAGACAAACAAATGAACATTCTTATTACTGTAGGTTACTTTCTCTGGCTCAATGCTTTATAAAAATCAAGGCAAGACATTTTAACATTTATATGTTTTAGTTGAAAAATGTATGTTTAGACAGTTTAGTTTGATTCAAAGGCACAACCCACAATGAAGCAGCATCTGCCTCTGTGTGAGAGCAAATAAAAGCCAGACACACACACACACACACACACACACACACACACACACACACACACACACACACACACACACACACACACAAGACACACACACGCACACCGCACACGCACACACACACCGGCTGATTGCAGGCACGTACACAATTACAAAGATGACAAAATGCAAAGACCCACATGTAGCACACACGCACACTCTTTAGCATTGTGGTCTGGTTGTCAACCTCGACAACATTTTATTCGCTTAATGTCTGGAAATGCAATTACCTCCCTGTCTGGGTATTTGGTCATAGCAAGCACGTGTGTCATACTTACAGTGAGATGAGGGAGCGCAGGCCAGTGAAAGCATCTGCGGCAACATCAGAAATCTGGTTCTTACTCAAGTCACTGGGGGGAGAAGACAGAGAGAGAAAGAGAGTGTACGTTAATGGGGCTCATTCTGTGTGAATGTCCTAGAACTGTCCGACAAATGATCATGAGAGAATACATCAGCAGAGGGCAAGGGGACATGAGTACAAACATGTAGAAGGTCTGAATATGTAAAGTAAATGAAAAAAGAGAGGGAGTGAGAGTGGTGGACAGAGTGAGAGTGAAGTGACAGGAGAGAGACAGAAACTGGCAGCAGTGGCATGTTAAGTGCAGTTCACGTCATTCACCTCACTGCTGTAAGATATATTATTTAACACTTCTGTGGAGGTTAAAACTCTATCTGTACATCTCTGTGTGTGTGTGTGTGTGTGTGTGTGTGTGTGTGTGTGTGGTGGATAACCTTAAAACCTGCAGATCTGACAATTTCAGCCATTTGCACGATAAGGAAATGTTTCACTAGTGAGTTTGTGTGTGGGTGTGGAATGCGTAATGAAGCTAGAGGAGTTGAACAGTGTGTTTGTGTCCGGGGGGATACATAACTTATCTGGTGAACATGTGAAGTTTCTGACTTTTTAGATTTTTTGGTTAAAAAAATATTATATATTATATTATTATGCATGAAAATAATTTAAACTGCTTGAATACAGATTCAGAATGTGGTCAACAAACAAGAATAAGGTCTAATTTTAAAAAAAAGTATTCAAGCCTTGTTCATAGAAATAATGTCTTACTCAAACAGGAACAGGTTAATTATCATATTAAGATATTACAAAGCAGTAGACTGGCTTAAAATCTATCTCAGGTTGGACTGTGAAAGTCAATGCGATGATTTTATGGTGGATTACTGTACTTAACCTTGGAGTGCCCCAAGGCTCTACACTGGGTCTGCTTTATTTTCTGCTCGCATAAATGCTTTAGGAGTGGACATAATGAAACCTATACTCATTGATATTCAGATGGTGCAGTTGTTGTAGTTTACATCATATGGACTTTACTGGTTAAGTAAGATAATAAAAGAATGCAATCATTTGTGGAGTCAGTATAAGAAGATTGCTGCTAAGGTGTTAATGTGAGTCGTGTTCATGCATATACATTTAGGTGCATGATTGTAAGCTTGTCAAATTGTGTTCATCTGTACACATTGTGTGTGTGTATTTGAGAGTTTGTGCACAGTTTCATCAATACTTACATCCTCTTGAGCTTCTTGTACGCTGAAAAGGCTCCTGCTGGGACACTTTTAATCAAGTTCTGCTCCAAGCGACTGAGAGAGAAATAGGAACAAAAAAGGTGTTAGATTAACAATCCCCCAGAATTAATTAGACACGCACATTATCCCTAAACCACACAAAGAGAACATTTGAATACAACTTCAACATGAGATGACAAGATTATAAAATTAATTTTCAGTTCTTTCATTATTTAATTTCACCAAGGACAGATAAGTCATTGGTTATCATGAAGTCCTGCTTGCCCCACAACCTTAGTCAAGCAAAAGCAGAAACAGTTCAAGAGGTGGCTGTTCCAATCAAAATCTACACAATATTCCCACAGGTTGGTTATTGCTTTGCAGCAGGGAGCAGTCAAGGTCACTGTAATGTGGAGTTGATTTTTGCAGTTCAGCAATGGGACCAACATGAGAATCAGAGCAACCAAAACCTGGACTTCGGACAACAATTGCTCAAGACTCTGGCCAACTAGTCACAAAGCAATTTCTTTCACAAATACTGTCGGTTGCTTTCTGTTTTCGTGATTGTCTAGGTAACACATTGCCCTTGAGTAATACTGTGGACATCTACAGTTAATATAACGTTAATAGATTGTATATACAAGTGGCTCTCTGCTCTTAAAACTAGGGGTGCATTATGGGTTAAATTCAGAGTTTACTTCAAATCTTTACTTTTTTCCATTTCATGGGGTCTGGATGAAAATGTGAAAAAGAAAGAAGTGAGAAGAGAAATCCTAGAAGGGGAGCGGGAAATTAGGACAACAAAGGAGAAATCAGAGGAGTGGAAACGTGTAGACAACAGGGGAAAGGAGAGGAAAAATCAAGAGGAACGGAGGAGGATGCGGTGAGGTCCCAAGGCCGGCCCCAGGGTCAGCTGTCAAGATGATAAATGGGAACTAATCCACCCTTCTTCCTTCTCTACTCCTCCTCTTCAGACCCAACTCTGTCTTGCTCTTGACCTCAAGTTGTTCTCTATCCATCTATCTATCTATCTATCTATCTATCTATCTATCTATCTATCTATATATATATACAGTATATTTAAGCAATAGCTCACGACAGGCCGTGGTATATGCTCATTATATCACAGCTAAGGGGCGTGGTTCGGCCCGACGCGAAGCGGAGGGTCGACAACCCCCTTAGCTGTGATATAATGAGCATATATCACGGCCTGAAGTGAGCTATTGCTTTTATAAAACGGTTACCAAGTGTGGCAATATGAAAGAAAAATACACACTCTAATTTAAATAGTTTTTATTAGTAAATAATGATGTTCAAAATAAAATAGTCCCTCCGTTGCCTTCTGCACAAAACATAGTGCGACGTGGTTGCTATGCAACGACACTAACAGCTGGCGAACATATTAGACAGAGAGCGTTGATCCATTATTTGGCTGTTTATTTACATTAATGTGTGTTGCCGTTTAATGTGCACCCACTGAAAAACTGTCCAGCATAGTACAGTAGCATGGCTTACGTTGTGACTTGTATAGGTTGAGGTTGTTCTAGGCTGTTGCTTGGTGTGGCGAGAATATTGCTCCACTTTATCCGGTCCCCGAGATTGGGCTTCCAGTAGCTCTGGAGAGAGCTTTCGCACCTGTGGCAGCGAACGCTCATCATTTCTCTGCTTTGTTTCAAGACCCGCATCAGAAAGCTTTTGAATGGTGGTACTTTTCCAGTTGGTCTACCTGCTCTTCACGTAGCTCTGCATGCCGTCGTTTAGGTGCTTTTTTTTTCTGGAGATAGGCACTGCTAAATCCACTCCTCCATAGTAAGAGTAAGACCCCCCCGGAGGTCGAAGTTAATCTTAAATGTTTCCATTTTNAAAGGCTTGGTTTCAGCCAACTATGTTTGTGTCTGTCTGTCTGTCTGTCTGTCTGTCTGTCTGTACAGACAGACAGACAGACAGACAGACAGACAGACAGACAGACAGACAGACAGACAGACAGACAGACAGACACAAACATAGTTGGCTGAAACCAAGCCTTTGTACTTCTGGTCTTATCAGCATCGTACATGATACAATCTGAATTTCTAATATAAACTAGAGAATGCAATTCCTGAAGAAATTGCTAGTGGGAATGCTTTATGCTGAAAATATGATGCTAAACTGCTATGCTGGAATGTAATGTGTAAGAAGAAAGTGAAGAATTTAGATTAAAATGATACATGAACAGTGGGGGCTTGAATGTGTGATGAGAGAAGAAAAGAAAGTAAAAAGGCTTGGAAAAGCCGCAGAATATTTGAACTGCAAACTTGTGAACTAACTTGATGGCGAATGATCTGTCGCCATGGCAACGGCATTTGATGAAACCCCATACTACGCTTAGATACGTTGATGGCTGCATCGTTACCAAACCTGTGAAGTTCTAGGCTGTTATGAGTATTTTCACTGAAGTTATGAGAAAACCGTGTTTCAAGGCGAGCATTGTGTTGCCATGGCAACGGCATTTGAAGAAATCTCAAAACTGTCCTGTAGGTGTCTTCACGGCTGGACTGTTAGCACACTGCTATCTGAAGTCTGCTGCTCTGAGCATGTCAGTTGGAGTGATGACATCATCGTGTTCCATTACACAGGTGTTTATAGTTGAGCTAACGAGCTCTGTAGAGATCAAAGGCTTCATTGTTCTGAATGAGAGATAAACCTCTTACATGTGAACGTTTTGTGGAAGAACCGTAACAGATATCTGTGAAATCTCAAAACGTGAAGCATGTCAAGGAAGTTGAGTATCTGAAGTGTAATTTTTGTGTAGTTTCGGGTTAATAATGTGGCCTTTTTGGTAGTTGCACTAAAGGTGTGCGGCTGCTGCCGTGAGGAAATATCTGTCTGAAATTACAATGGGGTTTAATGGAGGAATGTTGAACGTTTTTGTCACTTCATGCCCTCAAAAAGCATTTTGTTTAATTATTTTGCTTAATTATTTGTCATTTTTCAAGCTACGAGATGTTTTCCTACGTTTTGTCATGATAAATTATGTCTCAGGAATGTAGGGTTTGGGAATTACGGCAGTTTTAAAAAAAATATGAATTTGAATACGAATATGAACACGAATTTCAAGCTGTCCTCCACTGCTGTGACATCACACACTCTAGTTAATGTTAAAATGTGAAGAAAACCTCTAAAACAAGGTCTGAACAGAGGTTTAATATCTCTAAAAGTAAGAATCAGATTTAAAAGTTGTTTTACACGAATAATGTCAGAAAGATGTGTAACATTTTAAAGTTGGAATGAGGTTTCTGAGTGAAAGTATGAATGAAAAGTTAGCAGTTGAAGTCGCATGAACATTTGTTGAAGTCTGACGATTTCCTCCATTGACTTCAATGTTAAAAATGTGATGTATTATGGGATGTATCTCTGGAATTATGAAAGTTATGAATGAGAAAAGTAATAGCAATCGATTCCCGACCGAGCTGAACGTTTTGATGTTTGAACGGAGTTTCTGCGATGTTCAATGCGGGAGGAGAAGAGGGCCAAAATAACCCGGCGGAATAATAATAAAAATGTTGTCCGTAGAAGAACAGTTAGTTGGAATGCTGTTAACAGCATTCCCACTAAATTAACATAAACAATATACAGATTTTCATTGGAGTAAATTAATTTGTAAAAACTGAAGACTAGCATCAGTGTTAAGGTTTTTTTGTTCATATCAGTCACTTTGCACACTATTGCATGATGATTGAAATCCAACATCTGGATCACCACCAACTTCAAATTAAAATGTCTTTGGCTCAAGGCCTAACTGCCCCCAAAGATTTGTAATTATCCTGCTGGAAGTCAGAAAAACAAACTACCAAACAGGGACAACATCTCATTTGGCAACGGTTAACTCTCAGTACTCTGAAGATGTAAATCTCTAAGAGGTTCTCAAAGGAGTAGAAGCAAAGAAACGCATTCACACACAACCAAGGTCTTCATGTCCGGCCTATTTATAGCTGAGTAAAATGACTGTTAAGTTGTCCAGAGGCAGCCGGGGGTAAGGTAAAGTTAATTGAATTTGTGAGAAGATATTTAGCGCACATTTAGATGTTAGTCCAATCAGCCAACTGTGGAGTGAGTCAGCCCACGGCTTCACCTCCATGTGGACTTAATTGCAACACACACACCAGATAGATGCACACACTCACACACATTGCTCCACACATGCACACGTACACGCCAATGTTCTTGACATTTAGACATTAGCACAATTAGAAAATTACAAAGTGAATGAGGAAATGGCCACAGGATAGAAAGACTCATATAGTTATAATTCCATGCATGCATTAATGTCACTGCAGCATATTGGCACAAAGTCACAAACACACAGCCAAGTATAAACTTAGAAGAGTATAAACTTGGCTTTTGCTTTTCCAATCTTTTTTTCCCTCTCCCTCCACAAACATACAGCACACACACACAAACTCAAATTGCTGTTGTGTTATGATAGGCTTAGTGTCCATTCCTCATTATCCTTCATTAAGGTTTTAACTCAGTTTGTTTTACATTTCGACAGCAGTTCAATTATTTACACACTTTAGATTTAAGCTGTGTGTGTGTGTGTGTGTGTGTGTGTGTGTGTGTGTGTGTGTGTGTGTGTGTGTGTGTGTGTGTGTGTGTGTGTGTGTGTGTCAGTCAAGGAAATTGAGCTCGTTGTAAGCCAAGAACAACTCTGTATACTTTGATCATTCTTATCTTTGAGTGTTAGACGATTACAATCACTCAGATGTTTTTGTCTGTGTGTGTGTGTGTGTGTGTGTGTGGGGAACATAGCTCATTTTTTACTGCAAGATTAAAGACATAACATTAAGGATGAAAAGCAAGAGACTAATCATATACAAATTGCAGGTTCCCCTATTCATAATGAAAAGGAAATCTTAAATAAATGTATTATGAAATGCACTGCAGAGAATCAGTTATAAAATGGTGGATCTCAGGCACACCAAAAATGCTCATTAAATATGTATAAAACAATTCATGCAATTTTAAAACAAATGGGAGTGTCCATTGAAGGGTCCCGTTATGCTCTTGTTCAGGTTCATATTTGTATTGTGTGTCTCTACTGGGACATGTCTCCATGCTTTAATTTTCAAAAAGGTCTTTATTGTTGTCATGCTGCTTGAGCTGCAGCACCTCTTTTCCCCCTCTGTCTGAAACCAGAGCCCAGTCTGCTGTGATTGGTTGGCTGACCGGCTCTGTTGTGATTGGTCAACTGCTTAGAGATGTCCCGCCCCTTAGCCTACAATGTGTGTTGGCTAAATAACTTGTTAAAGAACATTGGTATGGCAATGCAGTACGACTCAAGATGATAGCGGATGACTTTCCAAAGTCGTTGCAGGCCACCCTTCCAACGTCTGCTCGCTGTGTCTCCAGAATAATCTAGGCGGTTTTTAACATGACTGCAGGTCCTGAGCCAGATGTTGAGCCACATCAGTGAAGCTGATATTCGTTGCCTCTGGTCATTTGATATGGATTTGTTAAGTACTCTTTAAAAGTGCTGAGTGCAGATGTAATTGGAATTGACCAAGTACCATACTTACAGATCAGTCTTTATCTCTATGTCTCCCTCTATCTCTCTTTGTTCTCCCTTTTCTCTTTTGCCCTAACCTAACTCAACCTTCCTCCCCTCGTTCTGCTTCATTTCCTCTGACTGTTTTCTCTTTCTCTATCTCTCACCTCTGTCCCTTTTGTAATGTGCCTGTCCTTCTCTGTATCCTTCTTTTCCATCTCCTTTTGGTCTAATATTCCCCTCTCTTGTCTGCCCTCTCTCTTAAGGTGTTGAGGATAATGGCTGTCTTCCTACGTCTGGCTGTCCTGACGTCTGCACGTGCACAGAAGGCGTCGTGCGCTGCAGCAACAGAGGGCTGCACTCTCTGCCCAAGGGCATTCCCAAGGACGCCACGGAGCTGTGAGTCAAGCACACACACACACACACACACACACACACACACACACACACACACACACACACACACACACACACACACACACACACACACTGACAAACTCAAACACAAGGATGTACACGTTCACTTGTGATCCAACATACAGACACACAAAAGCCAATGAACTTACCAGCAGACATGTACAGGCAGAAATGGCCATTTCTGTCAATGATTACTCTCTATCACACATGCATGCACGCATGCGCTCACACACTCGCACGCACACACTCGCACACACACACACACACACACCCACACACACACACACACACACACACACACACACACACACACACACACACACACACACACACACACACACACACACACACACACACACACACACACACACACACTCTCTCCCTCATACACACACACACACACACACACACACACACACACACACACACACACACACACACACACACACACACACACACACACACACACACACACACACACACACACACACACACACACACACACACACACACACACAGAGCCCCTGTAGCTGTGAAATAGGCCTGCTCTGCGGGGTCAATAGCAGTGATTAGGTATTGATCAGGCAGAAGAAGACACTTCATCATACTGTCCACATGACCTACTTATGACCTGAGAGAGCAGAGACCAGTGGATCATAAAATGTGTGTGTGTGCTTGAGTGCATATGTTTCTTCACTTGTTTTTTCTCATATACTCCCAACCACAAACTGATCAGAAGTTTGTACAACATGTTTTTAGTGGTTGGAATATCTGTTTGAAGCTGCATGTTGAAACTGTTACGCTGCTCTTCCTCAGTCGGGCAGGTTCACACCTCTAATCTTGTCATCTTGTCCCATCTTGATTTGCTGTCTGGTGAATTCAGAGATTAACTTCCACAGACATTCACCTATGCAGAACGAGTAGAAATGTCCAGAATCAAACCTGTATATTGGCGTACAAGCTACTGTAAGGCTGGGTACACACTTCATGTTAACCAAGCCTATTTGGGCCCAGAATCCCCCCTTCTCACACTAGCCAGCGAAATCACAATTGATATGGTTGTAAAGATTATCTTGGAAGATTTTATTTTGGTGTGAGGTATTTTAACATTGATATTTACATTGTTGATCTGCTTTGTAGTCACTCCTGGCCACACTAAAGGGCTGCACGATTTTGGGAAAAAATCGAATTGCGATTTTTCTGACAAATATTGCGATTGCGATTCGAATTGCGATATTTGTTTTTAAGTGACCCGACGTAAGTTTATTGTAAAATGCGGCCATAACTCCGGCCAGGAAGGTCGTATCAACGTGGTCCCGTCTCTAGCACGCCCGCAGCCCGAGCTATGAGTGAAAGAACTAAACTTACATGAAACTTCCGTTGGGTTGCTTTAAAGTCAAGCTTCAGTTTAAGATTCAACCTGTAATAGAAACATGTGATAGAGCATTACTAACCTGACTCAGATGGTTTGTCTCACCAAACCATCTAGGACAGCTCCATTGGAAGCCATTTGGAAAGGGCAGGCACTTTCAAAAATACTTGGCAGGTGATTGGATCAATCTGTCTATCACCTTCTATCATGGGCCACTTCTGATTGGTTAACAATGGCTGGTACATGTGGAGCACAGCACTTCTGATTGGTGTGGATGACTGACACACAAGAAGAAAAAAAAAAAAAAAGTAAAAAAAAATTGCAGGCTTTGCGATTTGATAAACGCATCATTTCAAATCGCGATTTCGATTTAAAATCGATTAATCGTTCAGTTAACATGTTATTAACGAGATGCTGGCCAGACCACACGATCCTTAAACTTCATGCGTCGGGCTTTGTGTTAGACCGGGAAGAGTCTGAAGGAGTGACTCCGGGGAGCGGGGTCTG